CCTACGTGAACGGGGAAGTCCAAGTCGCCGTCAGGGAAAAGCCTTTTCCCATGCCTGGAGTGCAACTTCTCCTAGGCAACGACTTGGCAGAAGACCTGCAACCGACCAACCTGATCGTCATGGACAAACCCCAGGTGTGTAACTCTGTGCCAATAAATCCTATTCTCGAGTATGTTCCAGCAGAGGTTCAGGAGAGTGATGAAGTTTCTCCTCCGGTTCTCGTGACCACCCGTGCACAAGCCGCACGTCCACAGCCAGCTGACTCTACTGCCACCGCTGTCCCTCAAGACCCTCAGAAACTACCCCCGCATCTGACCAAGTTGGAGTTCCGTAAGTTGCAGAGGGAAGATCTTACTTTAACACCATTGTTTTTCCAGGCTGAGACTCAACCCGACAGTATTCCTGGGTTCTTCCTAGAGAACGACTTGCTCTACCGCAGATATAGACCCAGTAAACTGAAGGAGGAGGACGATTGGGCCAACACCGAACAACTTGTGATTCCCACCAGCCTGCGGCCCACTATTCTACACCTGGCCCACGGAGCATTCTCCCACTACGGCTTCAACAAGACTTACCATGGGATTCGTCAAGACTACTACTGGCCAGGTATGGTAAACAACGTCAAACAGTACGTAAAACAGTGTCATACATGTCAGATGGCAGGCAAACCGAACGTCTCCATTCCCAGAGCACCACTGATTCCCATACAGGTGCCTGCGGAACCTTTCCACAGACTCATAATAGACTGTGTTGGTCCTTTACCTCGGACCAGTTCAGGTAACGCCTACATCCTAACCATCCTGTGTCCTACCACCAGATTTCCCATAGCAGTTCCAGTGAAGAACATCACGGCTGCTACGGTTATCAAACATCTATTGAAGATCTTCACTCAATACGGATTTCCCAGGGAGATTCAAAGTGACTGTGGCACCAACTTCACCAGTGATCTCTTCAAAAGGACACTGGAGGAGTTCAACATCAAACAGGTATTGTCCAGCCCCTATCATCCTGCTTCACAGGGTTCTCTTGAACGTAGTCATCAGACCATCAAAGCACTCTTGAAAAAGTTTTGTAGTGAAACCTCAAAGGATTGGGATAAGCAGATTGACCTAATAATGTGTATTTTCAGAAGTCTCCCCAATGAGTCCCTAGGAGTATCTCCTTATGAGATGCTCTACGGCCGTAAGTGCCGTACTCCCCTTAAGGCTTTCAAAGACTCTCTCAGAGATGCCACCTTCAGTGAGCATCAGAATGTGCCCCAGTTTCTTCAAAACCTTCAACACATTCTAGAGAGAGTCCACCGCTTTGCTCATGATAATCTATTGAAAGCCCAGGTGAGAATGAAGACTCATTACGACCAGACCAGCAAAGTAAGAAAATTCAAGCCGGGAGACTTCGTCCTTGCTTATTTCCCTATCCCAGGTTCACCTTTACAAAACAGATTTTCAGGACCCTACTGCGTCAAAGAGTGCAGGAATAATAATAATTACGTCATAGAGACTCCAGATAGGCGGCGGAAGACCCAGCTGTGCCACGTCAACCTCCTGAAGCAATATAATGGTACTCCTCCCACTGTCTTGATTAATTGTTCTACCTTCACAGAACCCTACATCCACAGTGAGACCATCCCGGCTTCTTCTCCCGAAAGCACTGACAAGGAGTCGGCGCTTTCTAATTCCAAAATCCTTAATGATCTTCCCAAATGCTTTCAGGATAATACTCGTGCTCCTATGCCCTCTTCTAATTCCACTCTCACCTCGTCAGATAAGCCCTACATCCTCCATGTCGACGCCAATGGTACCGACGATGGTGGTGTCGTGATGCAGCAACGAGGCGAGAAGAATACACCTGTCAGCGACTACTGCTACAAGGAACGACGGAACAATTGGCAAGGAGCTACTCTTCCTCATCCTGAAGCTTCAGCACTTCACTCCACACCTGAAAAGTGCTCGGTCCACCATCAATACGGACCACACCACCCTACACCTCCTGCAGCACGCCCACTTCTCATCTCAACGTCTTCTACTATGGGCTTGCTAACTGCAGAAATTCAACCTGGAGACACGCTATACCAAGAGTCTGACAACATCTTAGCCCATGATCTCTCCAGAGTTTATGAAGTAGAAGCAACTCCATCCATTACTCCACCACATAACGACGTACTTCTTCCAGAACCGCAGGCTTCGGGGGAGAGTTGTGACGATAATCTCCTTCAAGAGATTGAGCCTGCTCTTCCCTCCAAAATTACGTCTTCACAACTATATAAAAGACTATGGAAGAAATGTCCAACAACGACAACAAACACCAGCAAGGCTTGCCAGGGTGAGCAGAAACGTATGCAACCAGCCACCTGTTCGAACTCCAACCACCAAACTACCCGTTGATCGCTACGACTCCGCTGATTGGTCGCCGGTCTGGCTGCACCTGCCTCGCCCCCCCCAATACTACCTGATGTCTGGGGTCGCCCCAACATCAGTCCTCAGAATGTTCCGTGCTTTCGTAGCCAGCACTCCTCCCAGCTAGACGTTAGCGTGTACTGAGAGAGGTGGTGGCTTTAAGCCAATATTCCAGCACCTCCCACTAAACTTTTGTTGCACTTCTTGTTATTTTGACTTAACGTAACTTTTCATTGTGTCATTTAAGTATTCTTATTATTTTGATTCATTGATTTTATTATAAGAATTTGTTTGTGCATTATTTTCATGTTTTGATTTATTTAACGTAATTAAAATTTCATTGTTAAAGTTTTACTTGTGTTTTGTGTGTCTTCTCCTTACCTTACCACAGACGAAGTTCCAGTTTTTCTATTTTTTTTTATAACTATGTGACGAGGCCATACCCCTAGCCTTAAACAGCCGAACACCAACGCGTTACCGTCACAATATATATATATATATATATATATATATATATATATATATATATATATATATATATATATATTCACCAAGATGTACTGACCTAGCTGAACATAGAAGGTTAATTGGTAGTTACTAAACCCTACCTTTTGGGTTATCAATCACTTAATGCAATGACTATTCTCCTCTAATTTTGCTCTCTTATTTATATTTCAAACTGTGTTCCGAATCAGCATCATCTACTACTTTTGTCTGTACTAAACCATGTTAACCCTTCTCGTACTCAGAGGAAACTTTATTGAGACCTTTGTGATTCACGTAAGTTACCTTTACTGCTCCCTAATTCTGTTTCTTACTTAGAACAATATTTGAGTACCGAACCAGTTCTTCTCAGAACCATATCAACAGCATATGCAATTGCATGGTTTGTCCCCCTAGGACAGAGACCCGCTGATACCACTAAGGTTCATCTTGCTCTTGCCAGAGATCACTTGCATTATGCAATGCAGTTGTGGGAATCATACTGTATTGTGTATTGAGAGTGTACTGAGGAAGACCATATTAACCCAAGGCACTACGGGCTCACCATAGCCCGTGCTACTTGGAACTTTTTGTTCCAAGTAGCAAATCTTTAACAACAACAACAACGACCCAAGGCAATAGGAACCTGCCTTTCCCTTCAGGTGTGAGTGAGCTGCCTTTCCCTTCAGGAGTGTGAGTGAGCTGCCTTTCCCTTCAGGAGTGTGAGTGAGCTGCCTTTCCCTTCAGGAGTGTGAGTGAGCTGCCTTTCCCTTCAGGGGGTGTGAGTGAGCTGCCTTTCCCTTCAGGAGTGTGAGTGAGCTGCCTTTCCCTTCAGGAGTGTGAGTGAGCTGCCTTTCCCTTCAGGAGATGTGAGTGAGCTGCCTTTCCCTTCAGGAGTGTGAGTGAGCTGCCTTTCCCTTCAGGAGGTGTGAGTGAGCTGCCTTTCCTTCAGGAGTGTGAGTGAGCTGCCTTTCCCTTCAGGGGGTGTGAGTGAGCTGCCTTTCCCTTCAGGGGGTGTGAGTGAGCTGACTTTCCTTCAGGAGTGTGAGTGAGCTGCCTTTCCCTTCAGGGGGTGTGAGTGAGCTGCCTTTCCCTTCAGGGGGTGTGAGTGAGCTGACTTTCCCTTCAGGTGTGAGTGAGCTGCCTTTCCCTTCAGGAGTGTGAGTGAGCTGCCTTTCCCTTCAGGAGGTGTGAGTGAGCTGCCTTTCCCTTCAGGAGGTGTGAGTGAGCTGCCTTTCCCTTCAGGAGTGTGAGTGAGCTGCCTTTCCCTTCAGGAGTGTGAGTGAGCTGCCTTTCCCTTCAGGAGTGTGAGTGAGCTGCCTTTCCCTTCAGGAGGTGTGAGTGAGCTGCCTTTCCCTTCAGGAGGTGTGAGTGAGCTGCCTTTCCCTTCAGGAGGTGTGAGTGAGCTGCCTTTCCCTTCAGGGGGTGTGAGTGAGCTGCCTTTCCCTTCAGGGGGTGTGAGTGAGCTGCCTTTCCCTTCAGGAGTGTGAGTGAGCTGCCTTTCCCTTCAGGAGGTGTGAGTGAGCTGCCTTTCCTTCAGGAGTGTGAGTGAGCTGCCTTTCCCTTCAGGGGGTGTGAGTGAGCTGCCTTTCCCTTCAGGGGGTGTGAGTGAGCTGCCTTTCCCTTCAGGAGTGTGAGTGAGCTGCCTTTCCCTTCAGGAGGTGTGAGTGAGCTGCCTTTCCCTTCAGGAGTGTGAGTGAGCTGCCTTTCCCTTCAGGAGGTGTGAGTGAGCTGACTTTCCCTTCAGGGGGTGTGAGTGAGCTGCCTTTCCCTTCAGGAGTGTGAGTGAGCTGACTTTCCCTTCAGGGGGTGTGAGTGAGCTGCCTTTCCCTTCAGGAGTGTGAGTGAGCTGCCTTTCCCTTCAGGAGGTGTGAGTGAGCTGCCTTTCCCTTCAGGAGTGTGAGTGAGCTGCCTTTCCCTTCAGGAGTGTGAGTGAGCTGCCTTTCCCTTCAGGAGTGTGAGTGAGCTGCCTTTCCCTTCAGGGAGTGTGAGTGAGCTGCCTTTCCCTTCAGGGGGTGTGAGTGAGCTGACTTTCCCTTCAGGAGGTGTGAGTGAGCTGCCTTTCCCTTCAGGGGGTGTGAGTGAGCTGCCTTTCCCTTCAGGAGGTGTGAGTGAGCTGACTTTCCCTTCAGGAGATGTGAGTGAGCTGCCTTTCCCTTCAGGAGGTGTGAGCGAGCTGCCTTTTCCTTCAGGAGCCATGAATGAACTGCCATCCTTTCAAGAATTATGAGTAAGACTGTGTTAACCTTTATAACATTACCATAGTTTTCCATTTCTCTCGATTCTTTGTTAAAATCTGTATTCTGCAATATACATCCTTACATTATATTACCTTACATTATACGAGATACATTATACAACCTACATTATAAAACATACATTCTACAGCATATATTATGCAATCATATTTCATAGGCAGCTGTAGCATGCAATAACACATGCATCATTGAAGAGCATCTGTATTTTTTTTAAAGCTACTGTATTTTTCAGCAACAGCTGTATTATTCAACAAATATGTAACAAATAAATGCAGTATTTACAATTGTATTTGCATGACAGCGCATACGTCATCAAAAAATCAGCTTGCTAAAATACGTACATCATACAGCATCAGCTGTAATACTCCAAGTACCGCCAGCATCATACAAAAACAGCTTCATCACACACCACCAGCTTCATCATACACCACCAGCTTCATCATACACCACCAGCTGCATCATACACCACCAGCTTCATCATACACCACCAGCTTCATCATACACCACCAGCTGCATCATACACCACCAGCTTCATCATACACCACCAGCTGCATCATACACCACCAGCTGCATCATACACCAACAGCTGCATCATACACCACCAGCTGCATCATACACCACCAGCTGCAACATACACCAACAGCTGCATCATACACCACCAGCTGCATCATACACCACCAGCTGCATCATACACCACCAGCTGCATCATACACCACCAGCTGCATCATACACCACCAGCTGCATCATACACCAACAGCTGCATCATACACCAACAGCTGCATCATACACCACCAGCTGCATCATACACCACCAGCTGCATCATACACCAACAGCTGCATCATACACCAACAGCTGCATCATACACCACCAGCTGCATCATACACCACCAGCTGCATCATACACCAACAGCTGCATCATACACCAACAGCTGCATCATACACCACCAGCTGCATCATACACCACCAGCTGCATCATACACCACCAGCTGCATCATACACCACCAGCTGCATCATACACCAACAGCTGCATCATACACCACCAGCTGCATCATACACCAACAGCTGCATCATACAACATCTCCAGTGTATATACTATACAAAACAGTTACCCGCCGCCCCTATCAATTAGCAGGATTTTCTGGTTGAAGAGGTCTCGATTAATCCCCCTTGCTCTCAGCCTCCAGAATTTGATTGAAAATCCTACGTGAGGAGAGGATTTCTGTGTTGAGTACCAGTGTTGTGTAGATACACTGGGAGGGACGGGTGTACTGTGAGGGTGTACTGGGTAGAGAGATGGGGGCGAATTATGGGGAGTTGTGCAGTGAGGTAGTTGAAGCATAGGTGGAGTGGGGTTCTGGGAGTTCGTCTACTCCCCAAGCTTGGCTTGGGGAGTAGTGGGGAATACACTAAGCGCTCATGCTACTGGAACTTTCCATTTCTTTATAAATATGGAGGTCCAGGAGTCGGGACCGGGAGCTGAATGCATTGGCATGTTGTCAGTTTCCTTTTCAAAGTCTACTGTGCTCGTTTTATGACCTTGTCAAGAGTTTTGGGCATCGTTCATACAGAAGCTGTCTGGTTGTTCAACTTCCATGTTATTGAACAAATCCACAAGGACCGTGACGAGAATTCGAACCTGCGTCCGAGAGCATCCCAGACGCTGCCTTAATCGACTGAGCTACAACATGGTCAAAAGAGTTGAAACCAGAAGTTCTACTGAACTTACTTGGATCCTGCAGCCTCTCCGAGACACAAGGACGAAGAGGTAGAGGGGTGGGGGGGGGGGGGGGGTGGACGAGGGTGTAATTTGTGGTGTGTAATGTAGTGATGTAGTGTGTATAGTGCCTGGTGTGAGAGTGTAGAGTGAGGGGGATGTTGTGAGACTCTCACTATTCATGCTATTACTTCAGTTATTCACCATTAATGCTATTATCTAAATCATTTTTTTTTATCTCCGTTACTTATATTATTTATCGAATACCTTCGTTATTAATGATATAACCACATCGTTGCTATCACCAGTATTGTTATTGTGCTAAGTTAATATCACTGTAATTGCTAATATTTATATGACTCTCACACGCACACAATAAGGTTTAATGGTATTAAACTCTGCCACCATCCATTAACCCATTAATGTACTGCCTATATTATGCAATTTACCTGCCTTCTTGCCATTGAGTTTGCCCCATTGAGGGGCAAACTCAGAAACCCCCCAATGACCCCATTCAAAATACAGCCTAATGGGGGTAGACTCGGACACAACCAATGACCCCCATTAAAATGCAGCTTAACGAGAATGTAATAGGCGAATGATTGCGTTTTTGTTCACATTTAAAACCTATTAATGACGCTTCATCAAAGAGTAATAAAATTATATATATATATATATATATATATATATATATATATATATATATATATATATATATATATATATATATATATATATATATATATATATATATAACTTTGAAGTAATAACTGGGACTAAATATATAATGTAAGTAAATTTGGCTTCTTTAGTTAACTATTTTTACATTAAATAGAGATAAGGGAGGGAGGAAGGGAAGTAGATTAATGAAAGAGAAAGGGAGGGAGAGTGGCATGGAAAGAGAGAAAGGTGAGAGATGGAGAGAAGGAGAAAGAAGAGGGAGAGTAGTCTAATGAATACGGAATACGGGTGGTATAAGAAGCATGCATAAGAAGAGAGAGAGAGAGAGAGAGAGAGAGAGAGAGAGAGAGAGAGAGAGAGAGAGAGAGAGAGAGAGAGAGAGGGAGGTCAGAGATATAATAAAAAACGCGCACACATACATACACACACACACACACACACACACACACACACACACACACACACACACACACACACACACACACACAGGGTGGGCGATGGGGCTGGTCTCTCGGCTGAGTGGACAGTGTCGTGGTGCCGTAGTCCTAAGGACCCGGGTTCGTCTCCCTGCCGAGGCAGAAACAAAAAATAAACTGAGTTTCTTTCACATGATACATCTGTTCATCTAGCAGTAAATAGGTACCCGGGAGTTAGACAGCTGGTACAGGCTGCTTCCTAAGAATGTGTGTGCGTGTGTGTTTTAGAGATAAATAATACAGTAGAAGTAAGACTAATACAGTAATACAGTACAGTAATAATACAGTAATATAATACAGTAATAATACAGTAAGAAGTAAGTCTTAGGGATTACTGTCCCTAAGACTAGAAGTAAAGAGGAAAACTAGATTGGTTAGAAAGGCGGGGTCCATGAGCTAATAGTTCGACTCTGCGCATAAACAGTAAATACAAAAATTAGTAAACAAACACACATACACACACACACTATGTGTGTGTGTTTTACTAATTTTATTAATTAACTAATTAATATGCCGGTTAAAAGCCCTGTAAAGAAGGTATAAAGACTAGGCAGGTACATGAGGGAAACGAATCACCTCATAAAGATAGTGTTCACAAACGAGGCCACAAAAGTGCCACTACTAGAAAATTAGGAGAAACTTGTTTCTATATATTCTGATATACAAATATGCATTTCTTCAGAGGGACATAACAAATGAAGAGAGAACTGCAGCATTAGAGACAAAAAAGAGACACAGAGACAAAGAGACAGAGAGAATTGGCGATTCTAATTTCCCTAACTCGAAAACTTGAGGAAGTAGTGGGAGAACCTTCACTTACTTGGATGACAACCTAAGACAAGAACACAACAGGTACTTGAACTACACAACTTTCGACCTATTCAACCAATTCCCTCCTCTACCATCTGCCATATCATACCGAGTCCCTCTTTCCCAGCCCTTCCCTACCCCACCCAGCACTAGCATACGAACCTCACCACCTTAATCTCCTGATAACTCTCACCCAGAACCGAACCTTTCCTCTCCTCATCTCACAACTCCCACTCCAGCCCCGAACTCACTCTTACACTGCCTCATCACCCTAAAATAACTAAATTCCAACCCCCCCAACCCCCATGTTCCCCCATTAGTTTCCTACCCTCTGTTTCACTCAGATCCATCTTCCCCTCTTTCCCCACATCGACCACCTCACCATCTACTATCCCCCACCTCACTTAATACCTCCCCCTCCCCCTCTCCCCAACAGAGGAACAGAGGTTAAAAGAATGAGTGAGTGAGGCTGCACAAAAGAAAGTTAACTTAAAAGTAATGCACACAAACATGATGGGATTATATACAAAGAGAGTGAACTTAGGGAACGGACACACACAAAGAAAACTCAGATGTGCTCACAGAAACAAAGTCGCTTGGTACCTTAACCAATGCAGTGTTTTCTCAGGGCTACCATATAGTGAGGCAAGAGAGGGGAAGGAAGGGGAGAAAGAGGAAGAGGAGGAGGAGTGGCCTTGCTGATCAGAAATGGCTGGAGATTCGAGAAAATGGTAACTCCAGGCTGTGGAAGACTCAGGGGGCTACATAATGGACACCACGACAATGGGAGGATCCAATATAGTAATGGTAGTGATATACAGCCCTCCACTAAATGACAGAAGACTCAGACAGGCGTATATGACAGAAATAACATTTGCGACTATTACTAGAAATAACAAGAGCAGCAACTGTTGCCTGTAAGAATGTATCTTAATTATTAATAATGAGAGATTTCAACCATGATAATATTGATTGGGAGAGCAAAACACAATATGATGAGGGTGCAGATACATGGAGAACAACAAGTATCTGATATTGGAAGCATTAACGAGAAACTGTATACACCAACATGTTAGGAGGCCCCACAATAATGAAGGGTAATGATGAAGTGGCCAGACATAACTTTATAGGCAGGCGATGAATCACAATAACGTGGCTAAAGTATGTTGACCAAACCACACACTAGAAGGTGAAGGGACGACGATGCTTCGGTCCGTCCTGGACCATTCTCAAGTCGATTGGGTCGATTGGTCGATCTCACAATCAACTTGAGAATGGTCCAAGACGGACCGAAACGTCGTCGTCCCTTCACCTTCTAGTGTGTGGTCTGGCCAGACATAACTTTATAGCCACTCTGATGGACATAATAGAAGTCAATTTGGGACCCCTCCCCCCCATGGGAATGAGTAATCACTGTGTATGACATTAGAGTATCTGGCAGCAGTAGGAATGACCTGCTCAGAAAAACGACCGAGAGATCGAAGACTTGGGTACCGTAGAGGAAAGTACGAAGACATGAGCAAATTCCTAATAGGACTATCATAGAATAGGAGAAAGGAAGAGCCTGTACAAGACACGATTCAATTACATCCCTCAAAAGTGTCAGGAGACATTAGAGAAGTTTGTCCCTGATAACAAGAAAAAAAATGCACAAGTGGGACCCCATTATTTAACAAAGAATGTAACGAAGCAAAGCAATTAAGAACAAGGACATGGAGAAACTCCAGGAGCAACAAAACGACAAAGAATTGAGAGATGTATCAGACTGCCATGAATGAGTATCTCAGAGGGAGTAGAGAGGTAGAAAGAGAATTTGAAAATGGTATAGAGAGCAATTCAAAAAACTCAAATCAATGAGAAAATGAGTAGAAGCCATGATGGGATTCGAACCTGCAGGTTCGGACATGGGGATTTGGACATGCTTACAGAGAATGACAGGTAAGTCTGTGAGGTACTCACAAAGACAGTCCAGGTGGTCTTTGCAGTAGAGTAATGGAAAGTACCGGGAGTGAGTGGAACTGTGTCTAGTCGTGTGTGGAACTCTGCCCGAAACGCTATGCGTGTTAATGGCTTTGCATGAATGTAAAAATACTAGTTTTATGTAATCTCACCAACCCATTGTACCTTCTTGGAAATAAATAATAATAATTATTATTATTATTATTATCAAACAGCACTGTAATATTTTGAGATTACCAGAGAGGAGGTGAGAAGGTATCTGCTGAAACTGATGAGATTGGGGCTGTTGGATCAGACAGCATATCACTATGGATACTACAGGAAGGAGTGGATATTCCACGTTGGCTATTTTCTGTGGTGTAATTCATTGGAAACTGGAGAACTACCTGAAAGTTGGAAGGCAGGCAACATACAAGACGGGAGAGAGACAGGAAGCAGTAAGCTACAGGGCAGTGTTCCTAACGTGCATACCACGTAAGGCGACAGGAAGGATTGTGAGGAAGAGGTTAGTAGCACATCTGAAGTGAAGAAACTTTACAACTGACCTCAATTCAGGGATAGTCTATCCCAGAATTCTATCATGAAACCTGATAGAATGTTATGACACAAAATAGAAAGCGTGAGCAGCTTTTCAGATTTTGGGACTATCAGAAAGCTCCCGGACAGTACCCGCTAAAGACTTGGGCACAAGTTGGGGAATCAGATAGAAATGATAGGAAAGGGGAGCCGGTCGGCCGAGCGGACAGCACACTGGACTTGTGATCCTGTGGTCCCGGGTTCGATCTCGGGCGCCGGCGAAAAACAATGGGCAGAGTTTCTTTCACCCTATGCCCCTGTTACCTAGCAGTAAAATAGGTACCTGGGTGTTAGTCAGCTGTCACGGGCTGCTTCCTGGGGGTGGAGGCCTGGTCGAGGACCGGGCCGCGGGGACACTAAAAAGCCCCGAAATCATCTCAAGATAACCTCAAGAAGGTGCTCCAGTGGATGAATGGGTATCTATGTGACAGACAACAGCGAGTCACAGTGCGAGGAGAGATTTCAGCGTTACGAGGAATCACCAACGGAGTTCTACAGAGATCAGCAGTCAGACCTATTCTGTTCTTGATATATGTCAAGAATCTTCCAGATGGAGTAGACTTATTCTTCTCAATGTTTGCTAATGATGCAAAATTACAAGGAGGGTCAATTCTGGAAAAGATTGCAAGAAACTACAAACGGACGTAGATTAGCTGAAAGAATGGTTCAATAAATGGCTACTAGAGTTTATCGCCAGCAAGTGCAAAGTAATGAAATGGGGTGATGAGAACAGAAGGTCAGACACAAGAAACTCAATTGGTGATCAAATCCTTCAAGAATCAGGGAGACATCAAACATCAACATGTTTGATGTTTCCAAATTCAGACATCAAACCGAACATGTCTTGCAAAGCCGACATCAAACAGATATTATGAACTGCGTATGCTAGGTTGGCCAACATGAAAGCTGCTTTTAGAAATCTTATTAATAAGAACTCATTCGGAACGTTGTATATCACGTATGTCAGACCACACACTAGAAGGTGAAGGAACGACGACGTTTCGGTCCGTCCTGGACCATTCTCAAGTCGAGGAGACTTGAAAATGGTCCAGGACGGATCGAAACGTCGTCGTCCCTTCACCCTCTAGTGTGTGATCTGGTCAACATACTTTAGCCACGTTATTGTGACTCATCGCCTGCGTTGTATATCACGTATGTCAGACCAATACTGCATAATAATGCGCCTACCTTGTCAAATACGAAACTAATTTGGAGAAAGTCCAGAGGTAAGCCACCAGACTAGTTCCAGAACTGAGAGGCATGAGATACGAGCGAGGAAAAATTAATTCAACTCTACCTCACGTCGATGGGACACAGAAGGATTCGCGGGGACATGATTACCAAGTACAAAATTCTCATGGGAATTGATTGGACAAAGACAGACAATTTCGGACGGGTGATACTCGAACAAGGGGACAAAGATGGAAACCGAATACCCAAATGAGCCACAAAGACGTTATAAATATTTTTTTGGACATCTGAATGATAAAAATTTTTTTATTCAGAAGTGAAGTAGCGGAGGGTGGATATACAGTTTCAATATAGCTATGTTAAAGCTCAATAGACATGGAAACCTGTACATCAATTGATTGAAAGTTGAGAGGCGGGACCAGAGAGCAGAAGCTCAACCCCCCCCCCCCCTGTAGGTACCATTTGGTAATATGTAAGCATACATCTCTCCCCCTCACACACACACACACACACACACACACACACACACACACACACACACACACACACACACACACACACACACACACATACACATACACATACACATACACACACACACACACACACACACACACACACACACACACACACACACCTCACCCGCACACAGTTCGTAATTGCGTTGAGGCGAATGTGAAGAACAGAACCAATGTTATTCGAGGAGACAATTGCTCGTAGAACAAATCCCTGTCACTCATCAATATGGAAACCACTCTGTCTGATAATCCGCGGTGGTGCCACCTCTACTCTGCGCGCGACCCCTCATGATACCCCCAGTCAGCACCACCCGGTGGATAGGGGTCGTCGCTCCAGTGTTTGTGTACACCTGAAAAAGATGATGAATTATGCGATAGGGCGACTGTGGAGAGATACGGCAAGCAAAGGTGGCCCGAAGCGTGGAGGAGGAGGTGGCAGCGGGCCCGCCAATCGATATCGGCGCGTGCTGCTCTTATATTCACCGGGGAGTGAGCGCAAGCCTCGCGCCTTCCGCTGCTGGCTCCGGCTTCAACCACTCACTTACCTCAAACATTCCATACCAACAACTTTGTTTAAGCCCAAGAGATAAGAGTCAACAATGATATTATCTCCCAGTTCTGTACACGGCTTGATGAGAGGCAGTAGTAGAGGCAGGGTACAGATTATATCGGGAAGTAATGATGTGCACGGAATCGGTGGACGTAATAAGGCGCATGCGCGTGCGAGGGGAAGCTGGGGTCAAGCGACTATGGTTCCCCTCTCAGACAGCTCTGTGGCCATCCAACTGCTTGTCCACTCTCCCCTCCTCACGCCCTCGCTGGCGCCTCCGACGCCAACTTCCCTCATACCAAATGGGTGGCTCACCGCTGCCCGCGCCCACCGCCCACCGCCCACCGCCTACTCAACGCCCCACTGTGGGGCAAAGACCAGAAGGGTATTCACCTCCGACCTGAGGAAACCGGCCGGCGAGTCCTCCTGCATGGCAGTGGTGTGAAGGGAACTCCAACAGCCGAGGCGTCGTCCTGTGGAGAGGATTCTCTGCTTCACGGATGCTCTTCGTCCCTGTGGCAATCCGTGAAGGTGGGGGGATAGGAGAGGGGGCGGCCTTCAGTAGGTGGTGGACGATTCCGGAGGACAGGTGGCGGTGGTGTAGGAGGATGTAGGTCAGCGCCTCCCATCCTGATGTGTGTTGTAGCGCTGATCCACCGACAGAGGGCACCACCACCACCACCACCACCACTTCAACCACCACTACTACCACCATTAGCAGCAGTGCCCTCCCCTCCCTCCCCAGGGAACCGGCCACCTCCCCTCGCTAGTAAACACGCAAGGTAAGTAACGTTAAGTAAGAGTAAGTGACATACGGCTCTCCCACACGTTACCACCACCACCTTCCTGCTGACCTCTCCTCGTACTCCAGATACCTGGCTAGTCTTGCTCCTCCTCCCCCCCTACCCTACACACCCACAACCGGTCCTAATTCCCCCCTTATACCCACTACCGGTATTCTTGCCTCCTACCCACGACCGGTCTTGCTCCCCCGGTGTCTGTCCTCCACAACCAGCACAAGAGTAAGTAACCATTATGTCTCAGTGGATGCTTAAATAATCTAACACTTGTCTGGTTTGGTCATTGTACAATTATGGTTTGAGAGTGTTGCTTTGTGATCCTTTGTGGTTCTTTGAGTGTTGCTTTGTGTTCGTTTGAGTGTTGTTTTGTGTTCGTTTCTTAGAATATTTCTTAGAAAGTTCTGTAGATTAAGTTATCCATTATTGATCTCATAACCTTTGTGAGAGGGGAGGCAGTGGAGTTATGAGACCCAACATGATGGGCTCAGGAACTCATTCTCACAAATCTTGTACAACCACTTGGTTACATTTTGAAATACGTGGACTGTATGACCAATATATTAGTTAATACGTCATTTTTTAAATTTGTTTCCTTCACATACTATTAAATGAAATACTAGCCAGTATGATCTATGTAGCCATATTGGCTTAGTACTTTTTCCCAATAATTTCCTATTCCATAGTTTGTAATGGTGTGTGTATAGTGTTGTTGACGGATAATACATTTGATCAGATCTCCAACAGCAGGAGGTATATAATTGGTAATACCAAAGCGAGTTTGTTGCTGTGTAGAGAAAGAGTCGAGGATGAGAGTACAGTGTTGGGGATGGCAAGAGAGGGTCAAGTACTGGGGTGCAAACCACTCATCAGAAAATGAAGAGACGACGACGTTTCGGTCCGTTGTGGACCATTGTCAAGTCGTGTAATTACACGTGTAACTTCACGACTTAATAATAGTCCAAAAACAGACCGAAACGTCGTCGTTTCTCTCTTTTCTGATGTGTTATTTGAACATCAGCCACGTTATTATAGCTCATCATCTGCACTGGGGTGTAGAGAGAGACAGAGAATTGAAATTGACAGAGAGGGGTCAAGTACCTGGGTGCAGAGAGAGGGTTCAAAAACAGGGCTTCGGTTTTACACGAATGGGGTCCACGGTTTGAGTTTCGTAGGGTCCAGGTGAATGGAATACTGAGGTGTATAAAGAAAGGATCAAGCCCTCGGGTGTAGAGATAGAGAGGGTCAAGTACTGGGATGTAGATACAGTTGCACAGTGTAGGTAATGAGGCTGCTTGTATCTGTGAGAGCATCTCCAATCATCGTCTAAGCGACGACACAGACCAGCTGTTCTGGGCGGGAAATCAACATTGTCAACATTTCATTCATTCTAGCAAGCAGCGAGTCTCTCCACCTACTATCATGCAGCCTGAGTGCTATTCAATAATTCATCATGTCGTTTGGGCGGCTTGGGACGAGGGCCAGACTTACGAATGAGGCTTTGACTTTGTGCAAGGGTTTGGGGTTACTCTTTCAAGCCAGGGCTTAGACGTGGGACGGGGTTTAGACTTAAGGTTAAGGGTTATGTACTGATGAGCTGGCGCTAGACTTGGAACAAGGCTTTATAGGCTGTAAGGTTCAGGGTTATACTTACGAGCGAGGGCTAGACTTGATAAGAGGTTTGGACTTAGGGACGAGGGGCTAGCCTTGAAGCGAAGGTTTGACTTGGGACGAGGTTAGACTTATGGGCGAGGGAACTTACAGAAAAGAATTGGACTTTAAGCGAGGATTGCGCTAAACTTGAAAAAACTGTTAAGGTATTTCTGAATCTTAGATTTGGTTTCAGTCAAAACAGTAGTATAATTTAATTCCTGAAACTAGAATTTCTTTGTACTTCGAAAGGCCGCGATGATAATTTGTCAATTGTTTGTTGTGTAACATCTTTGTTAGTTGTGTAAAGTTTTTGTTAGTTGTGTAATTTCGTTAATTGTTGTGTAAAGTCTTTGTTAGTTAAGTAATGTCTTTGTTAGTTAAATGTTGTCTTTGCCAGTTATGTAATATTTTTGTTAATTGTGTAATATCTTTGTTAATTTTGTAAGATACATTTTATATAAGTGAGAGTAATATATATATATATATATATATATATATATATATATATATATATATATATATATATATATATATATATATATATATATATTAAATATATATATATATATATATATATATATATATATATATATATATATATATATATATATATATATATATATATATATATATAGTTTCTTGCTAAGAAATAATCCTAGAATTACACAAATAAATAATAATAATACCTTTTATTTAATGCTGGGACACACGGCGCAATCGCTTTCGTATTTTGTATTAAGATCGTTGTTTGTGGTCCAGACTCCCGTCACGCGCTCCCGTCATGAACTTTAGGCGTCCACCAGATGGAACGACAGGCTAGTTGGACGGTTAGTATGGACGGTTCATTGACGGCAGATTAATATAGACGACTCGTCTCGGGGTTTCGTGTGTGAATGTGTGTGTGTGTGTGTGTGTGTGTGTGTGTGTGTGTGTGTGTGTGTGTGTGTGTGTGTGTGTGTGTGTGTGTGTGTGTGTGTGTGTGTGTGTGTGTGTGTGTGTGTGTGTGTGTGTGTGTGTGTGTGAGCGAGCTAAGGGCCAGCTGATGGGTGTAAGTACTTGGGTAGCAGAGAGGGAGGGGGAGGGAGAAGTATGGGAGGGGTGAGAGGTATGGGAGGGGGGAGAGAGGTATGGGAGGGGGGGGGAGAGGAAAGCAGCTGCTACGGGAAGAGGGGAAATATAATAGCCATAAAGAAGTAGGCAAATGGAAGAGAGGGGAGAGAGAGAGAGAGGAGGGGAAAATAAAAACGGGACAGGAGGAGGAGAAGGGGGACTGGAATACTGAGCCCCCGGACGCAACTCGAGAGAGAGAGAGAAAGACAGAGAGAGAGAGAGAGAGAGAGAGACAGAGAGAGAGAAGGGGGGAAGGGGGGAATGAGATAGAATGGGTGCGGTAGGGCCACCGGCTGACAGTGCTCAATATAACACCAGCTGATCAATACTTCTATTGGGAGATAGGCCACGGTCGATAATAATGACCAGACGGCCGGCTGCTGGCCCTCTGAACCTGATAACCCAACACGCTACTGACGCAAGCTTGGGCGCGTGTAAATAAAGCCAATACAAATGTTACTGAATTATAATTTACGTGTGAGAACTAGTCTTGGTTTCGTAATTGACTGGTGGTGTTGGTGGTCACCTAGCTATGCTTGCCTATCTGTGCGTGCAGAGAGGGTTGAGCTTTGTCTCTTGGGCTCCCCCAACTCTCACCTTTTAATCAGTTGGTGTACTGGTTCCTGAAATATTTATGCTCTCCAAAATATGCATTTGAATCCGCAGACGGAATCTGTGTTAGGAATCTGTATGGGGGAATTTGCATTTGAATCTGCGTATGGAATTTGCGTATGGAATCTGCGTTAGAATTCTGGTTATGGAATCTGTATTTGAATCTACTTATGAAATCTAGCGGAGGAATCTGCGTTTGGAAGCTTCCTCTACGTTTAGCTTATTTTTATTTACTAATGCAGCACTGAAGAACTGGTTTCTAATATATAATATTTATTGACCAGACCACACACTAGAAGGTAAAGGGACGACGACGTTTCGGTCCGTCCTGGACCATTCTCAAGTCGATTGTGAAACCATTCTCAATTCGACTTGAGAATGGTCCAGGAAGGACCGAAACGTCGTCGTCCCTTCACCTTCTAGTATGTGGTCTGGTCAACATTCTTCAGCCACGTTATTGTGATTCATCGCCTGCATATAATATTTAGTTTCTGACGTTTGACTCTAATTGTCAAATCTTGTTTAGTATTTTGTACGTCGTGATTAAGGCATCTTAACTCCGGAAACAGTCTGGTGACAGACTCCGGGAATTTCTTCAGGTTTGATTAGTTGTTAAGGAAATTAAGGCTCCATGTTGATAATGCATGTTCCAAAAATGTATGTGGTTTGTGGAGTCCATATGTTTGTCAACCTTGCATATGTCGCTGATGTTATCCGGGTCTAGTGTGCCTCATGTGGGTATTGTGATCCTGTCCGGCTTCTGTTTGTCAGTTATTGCATAGCAGTTTGTTTTGCTTTATCTGTGTGTGTGTGTGTCTGTATTTACTATTTT